GAAGTCCTGAGTTATCTTGGGGAATGAAATCTGCTCCTTGTCACTGAAGCTATGGCTGCTGCGAATGCTGCCGCCACCACCACCATGCTCTTCTATTTCTGAGCCTGTTCTGTTTCCTCTCCAGGGCATCCTGACTTACCTTTAGGATGAGGCTTCAGCATCTTCACACCGTCAGTCAGGGGCCACAGAACTAGTGATGTCTGGCTAGGCTTACTTCTGGTGCATTGTCTATTTGTCTCCCTATAGTTTTCATTTATTCTGTCATTACTGTTGAGAATTTCTGAAGCTCACTCTTTTTTATGTTCTTTAGAATAGTCTGCTTTTTTTTTTGAGTCATCTTTACCGGTTTTACAGAGGCATCACCTGGTCTATCTCATCCAGAAATCCTTAGCATTGAGCGTTTACATAAAATTGTATATTTAAATTCTAAAATGTCAGGATAAGTCATAGTTAACCTCATCACTAATTATCAAGTACAAGCCCATGAGGAGTTGAGTTTTAGGAGTCCAGAGGGAGGTCCTAGGAGCTCTGATGTCACCTGGCCAGTGTGGACACGTGGTCTTTCTGTGCATGTTAAGTGCTGTTAATGAAACACCAGGCTTGCTTGTGCCAGGCCAGCACTGTGTCACTGAACTATGTCCCCACCTAGACATCTACCGTCGAATGCTAGTACCACACACTCTATACCCTCTCTTGGATCCTCTTCATTGAACCTGCGCTGGGTCCTATACATAAGGACCAAACAGAAGGGGCCAGAAGGAGTTCCTTCCCTACAGTTCCTTTAGTAGCTTTTTGGTACTTGTCACAAAGAGAGACACTCAACATTTTTCTCAGACTTGGTAAACTTCCCTGAGTGGTTTTAGAAGCTCACAGACAATTTCCTAATTGTCTTTGAGAATCACCCTTCCTATGAGTGTTGTTATTGAAGATTGAGTTTTATCCTTGCGCTTTACTGAGTCCTCGTAGACACTTCCTGGATCCAAGGAAAACACAGAGGAATGGTCTAAAAGCAGACCCGTTCTTACCACTAAGAAAATGCCATTATTCACCTGCTACTGTGGCTCACAGAAACAAAGCAAGCCTTTGATCCCTGTCTCCCTGACAGTCTGCTCTGTGTCTGTCTTGTCTATGAATGGCTTCGTCCACGCAGGAAATGCCTGACACGGCACGGTGAATTTAAGAGTATGCCTTATTTTTATTTGGTTGGGTGACACCAAGTGTCTGACTCCATAACAGGGAGAAGGTCAGAATAACCCACACAGTGGTGAAGATGGCTTATGGATCCGCGGATTAGCTCACCTGAGAGAACTTGTGCAATCGGAACCACATTATAAATGTAATCATGTGCTCTCGAGTCAAGTTTACTTTAAGAACTTTTAGGAGAGTATTCCTTAAATGGTAGGTAAAGAATATCATCCCCGCTCCTCCCAAATATCTTGATCTCCTTGGCAAACAAAATAGCTGTAGTATATTCCACGTTTGTAATGTGCCAAGCTCTTTGTGCCAAGTGTCACTGTGTTCTTCAGGTCTGAAAGGTGAGGATTATCTCATGCATTTACAGAGGAGGAAGCAGAGCACCCGGAGGGGTTTAGAGCCACTTGCAAAGTTACTTAGCGAGGTTGAACTCTTATCAGCTCTGAGTTCCAGGATCACGCCGAAGATCATCTCTCAAATAAAAAAGCGCCTACGCCTGGCTCCCAGGGGAGATTTGCAGTTCTAACCCTTACAGTCTCCATAGTTAGTGATCTCAGGGAACTAGTTTCTTTTTTCCTCATGTTGCAAAAACCTCTATAAATCATATCATATCACTCTATGCCTTGATTATTGCGCCAGAGAAAAATAGATGGAGAGATCCCCACATTTGAAGGAAATGTTTGGGACGATTGACTTGGTTCTCAGGCTCCTGGAATATATGAGTGAGTTTTACTGTGCTGAGCACAACTCTCAACCATAGGGAGAGATCATCTGCATTAACAGTAATCAAGATACCTAGTAAAGGTCTATGTGGATGCAGCTGGAACGAACCAAGGAGAGGATCCCAGAGGACAAAAGAAACTGGGCTTGTGGGTTACGGTAGTCCCAAGCCTGTGGTCACATGCCATTGGGTGAGTGTGACTTGTAGAATATTGTGTCTTTGGGCCAATTCCCCTGGAACATACCTATGTGAGGATATCCACTGACTCTATGTTATTCTGGATTATTTCACTAACAGCGCTGTGTGTTCTCTGGTTGCAAATCGTGAGTCATCAATCACTCTATTAGACTGCTCTAACTCTCCTAATTACTAAGGTATATTTGGTGGGGACAGCACTGATATGGCAGCTGGCATCACACACAGAGGTGACACTATAACTCAACCAGGAAAACGCCACTTAAAACCACCCATTAAAGTTATTGAGAGAGCCTTCCTTCAAGGCAGGTGCTTCTTCAGTTATGGTTACCTTGCTCTAGCTAATGGAAGTCTAGGAGCTTTGATAGACAATCCCAGCAGATGATCTCCAGCCCCAGTCTGCCCTTAATGGGATTCAACCCCTCGATTGCAAACTACGAGCTACTCCCCCAGTACCACTAGCTATGGGGAGAGTGCCTCTTGCTATAGCTAATACCCAAGGCCAAAGGCAAGCACTCTATTGGTCAAGATTCACAAAAGGTCTAGATTTCCCCCACGGAAACCTATTAGGTCACACATTCCCTGGGTGATATAAATCCTATGATCTCCTGGATGTGTCATTGCCATTCTTCTATATGGAAAATCCTCTTGACATTTGTGCCTTCTCCCACCACTCCATCTCTGAGTCTCAGCACCTCTCCCAATTTCTCAAGTGTCCCTCTCTCAGTCATGAAATGGTAGAGTCTGATCTCCAGGGCCCTGTATATCCTCAGCAGCCAGCTCTTAGACACTCATTTGTTTGGTGGAGTGTTCTCTATCCCCTCATGCTGCAGCCACCCTCCCTTTCCAGCTGGTAGAAGACGCTTATGCCGCCTTAGTCTTCCTCCTGCCAGAGGCTGCCTCTACCATCTTGATCACACCTGATCACACGGTAGTATGGAAAGAGCCAATATGGATATGTAAAAAGTGTTGCAACACTCTGGAACTCTGAAACAATAAAGCTAACAACGAAACATTTATACATGGTTGGGAAAGTCTATTTCACTGGATTTTACGGAAGGCGAGTAGTGTCTCTGGGAATGCCACTGGCACGATTTTTACACATCCCTGGGACAGGAAAAGGGACAGAGGAGAGAGCCTGTTCCCTCCACACAGAGTGGCTTTGTTTGCCATCTGGCTTCTCGCCACCTTGAAGCATCCTCTGAGACCCAGGGAGATGGGACGGAGGAATGAATGCATGGCTGTGGGTTCCTGGAGGCCTGTGTCTGCCCTCCGTGCTGTGCCTCTCAGGGTCGAGGATACGGCAGGTGTCTGATCGCTCCTCAACAGCACAGTGGAAAGAAAGGCCCAGAGTGTCGGGTTCTGTCTGAGAGTTTTCTATAGGCGATGGAACGGGATTAGGGGTGGGGGGGTAGGAGCAGTACAAAGCATACACCGTGAGTGGCCCCGTGGCTGTACCTTTCTAAGAGACTAAAGCTTCCAGACTAGAGACTAACATACAAACTACTTTTTGTTCAGGGAAAACAAAATTCCTACAGTGTCATGGCTCATGCATTCCAGGGGCCTGGTACACACTGGTTTATTCCCAGGCCCACCCTGGGAATAAAATTATTTGATTTCAGAAATATACAGGTGTTTCCACAAACCACCAGACTGCTTGTCTTTGCTTTCTTTGCTTCTGTTGCCTGTCTCACCTAGGAGATGCTGATTTCTCCAGGCTCAGCACACATCCCTGGAATCCACTTCTTCACCTTGTCTCCTTTCCTGTTCTTGTCCGGTCGGTAGTCCTTCCGCTCCTTGCTCACTCACCATTCATCCAGCTCTGTAAACCAAGGACTTGGTATGCTTCACAGTGGTGCCCCTAAATCTCACCAACATCTGTGCTTCCTGTTGGCCCTCAAAGAGAGTTGTGTGCAAGTGGCCCAGTTGTGAATATCACTGAACATTGCTGTGCACTAAATGACATGGGTGATCGGTTAAACCATAAGAATCAATTTAGTGCTCTGTAGCCACTCCCCCTTTGCTAGAGGCTAAATTTAGGCAGCTTCCTGCTAGTATATTCATTTATGGTTAGAGTAAAGATTCTTCTGAAAAAGAAAACTTAATCTATGAGTTTATTTGCCCCTCCCTTTTCAGTTCCCCCTTCATTTGGCTCCCTCCCTGAATAATTTTCTCTAAGGGTGGTACCTCAGAGCTGAGATCAAAGATAATTGTACCTGTCTTAGAGACCCCCAGGTTATTTTTAAATAAAACAAAAATGAGATGATTAGAAAAGATTATGTTTGGAAATTTAATTCTTTCCTAACTTCTGAGCACACGCCTTTGGAGCAGTTCTCTGAATACAGGCACTGGCAAATATTCCATGAAAGGATAGGCTTGTTTACAACATAAACACCTCAGTTTGAGAAGGTGATCCACATGGCAGTTTGTTATGCTATGTGATAATTATGTACTGTAATTCTAAAAATATATGACGAAAATATCCCACATGTGAATTCCATTTTCAAAAGCCTATATGTTAAAAATGTCCACTTTAATATAATACAGACAAGAATTAGCATGTCTAAACTGTGAAGTCAAATTAAAGTTTTCTTGGGAAAGGAACCGACAGGATGAAAAGTTAGAAAAGTCAATAGAGCGAGCACAGCCTGGAGGAAATGGGAGTTACCCAGGCTTTCTCAGGTATAGTTGGCCAGCCAGTGGCTAACTGCTGAAGATGCCCCAGGCCTCATTTCAGAAGTGTTAAAAAAAAAAAAAAGATAGCTACTTTTCATGAGAATAACCAGAGTCATTGCAAGGATGGCTGCTTGTCTTTTCCCCATTATTCCAAAGGAGGGAGATCTCTCTACTAACTCTCCATTATCAACCAAGCTCCATTAATGGAAGCAGTTGATAGCTCCAATTGAAAACACCAATAATTTTGCAGGCTGCAAGGAACTGCTCAGTGCACCTATTCACTTTGAACCATGTCCACTTTATTCAGAAGTTCTAGAGCAAGACTGGGCATGTAGCTCAGTTGGCGGAGTTCTTGTCTCACATGCATAAAGCTCTGAGTTCAATCCTTGGCACCACATAAAACCAGATATGGTGATGGGTGTCTCTCCTTGAAGGTAGAGACAGGATGATGAGGCCGAGATCATCCTTGACTACCTGGAGAGTTCAAGGCCAGACTGTGCAACTGGAAAGCCTCTCTTAAAATAAACACGTAAATAAAGGTTCTAGAACAAAGAAAACCAAGAGCTAAGTTCGTCCTCCGTTCCTGCCGTAACCTGCCTCTGTGGGCTGGCACAGTTGAAGGGATGTGAGAGGATCCAAGTTCTTTGAATAAGCATTCTTGAGGCTCTATCTGGTCCTAACACAGTGCAGAATGCAGACATGATTTCCCGGTTCTTGCTCTGTCCTAACTTGAGTGCTAATTTAGGAGACACAATTTCTGCATAAATGTTTCAAGAAAAGGAAATACAATGTATTCTCAAAAAGAATCCTGGAGGTTCAGGAGGAAGAAACAAAGAGGTTCTGGAGAAAGGAAAGGGTGGGGGTCAGCAGCTCTTGCCTGCTTGGGGCTGGTTTCCAGGTCGCAAGGATTGTGAATGCAGCCTGCTGGACTCACAGGAACTCTGTGTTCAGATGAAACCCCCTGTGTCAGAGGAAAGCCTTCCTGGGTGCTGCTGATAAGGTTGATTGAACGGTGCCAAATGCACCTTTTGGTTCCATTTTGATCCAGAAACCTCTTGCCTCAGAATGGCAAGAACTTGGTCCTAAAAAAAAAAAAAAAAAAAAAAAAAGTCTTGGAAAAAGGACTTTGGTTTGTTCCGCCAAAAAAAAAAAAAAAAAAAAAAGAAAAAGAAAAAGAAAAAGAAAAGAAAGAAAGAAACATGGAAAGGCTACCAGGTATTTCATATGGGTTGAGGGAAAAAAAAATGCATTCAAAGATGAGATTTTTTTTTTTTTTAACTGCCAAGTTTGAGAGAGGATGAGAAAACAGGGCTGATTTCAGAAGTTTCTAGGAATATGCCTCATCTGAAAGCTAACCAGGGACCTGGAAGGACCAAGAAGACTGCTGGGGAAATTGCTGAGTCTGCTCAATTTCTGGGGAGGGAAAGAGAATGCAGGCATTCTCTCCATCTTTACACTACTGTTGAAGGTATCCCAAGACAAAGACATGAATTCAAATGCACAACCTTTAAGAACAAACACAACAGTCAGGGAGATCTCATCCAAAGGCCTTGGTCTCCCATCGGAACAGCAGGGCTGTGTTCCAGGACATCCTGCACTTAGCTGTTTCCTCATTGACATTCTGCCAGGCGCTGCACCGAAGTCAGTGTATGGGGGGGGGGTGCATGAGACCCAGGCTGAGAGTTCCCACCGAGAAAAGGTTGCCATGGCACACTCCCACTGCCTTTTGAAGAAGGGAGTGTTTGCTTACCGGATGTCAGGGATTTTGATTCTAAGAATCCCCTTCTCTCTTCACCGGAGAATAGCTGACATTTTCTTCATCCTACAATTTGAAGGGGGAAAAAAAAAGGTTCATAGAAGAAGAAAAAAAAAAAAAACAGGAAAAAAAATAGGAGAAAGAACTTTTTACAACATCTTTTATAATCTATGACAGTTGCATCTTGGTAATTATTTATATAGTCCCAGAGGCTTCAGGAGTTCAAATAGCTGGAGCATGATTCATAAAATTTAAACAGTAGCAGGTAATGTCAGATTGTGCTAGGAAGCAGGAAGCTGCCATGGCGCAGTCAGAGGTTGCTGGATCACCAGGCAGAGAGGTGTAACAGGCCAAGGCCTTGCTCAGGTTTTAAAATGCTCTCAAAAATGTATTTAGTACATCTAAGTACACAAATTGAAAGGTGTGACTCTAGCAAATAAAAACTGTTAATAGGTCACATGATGTGGGCGTTGGATACAAAGAAACAAGAAAAAAAAAATCTATTTATAATCCACAAGACCAGAAAAGAAAAGGACCCAAGATGACGCCAATTACAACACACATGACCTACACATATCCACACTCTTGATATAAATATCCATGTCATTCTTGAGATGACTCTAGGAGATGACTGCTATTGGCAATGGTCACTGAAGTATGCTGGGTAATTATCCAGCAGACCCCCTCACTGTGGCCAGGGCAACACTTAGAACACAAGGACATTATTTGTTATTTCCAGTTCCTGCTGCCCTGGAATCTCCTCCTCCTCTTTGCACTGTGTTGCCGCTGTGTTCATCCTTCAAGCACCACCCCAAGTCACTCTGGTCTTGCCAACTGTTTTCTGACTGTTCCCACTTTCTACAGCTCAGGAGACTTGGAGAAGCCTGGGAGTTTAGAAGCTGACCTTGGCAGAGTCTCTGTCTCAAATCACTGGTTTATAAGGACGGCCACAGAAGATGGTTGTGTGCACAGCAGCTAGACAATGGCAGATGTCTCCGCTCCCCATCTACACCGTGAGTGCTGCATTTCCATGCTCATAGCGTCTTCTTGCCTGCAGAGCTGCCACCTTCAAGAGTCTCCAGAGGCCTTCTTTGAGTTGAATCCCTTCTGCTTCACCCAGCACAGGCTTGTCCAAGGCACAATAAATGATTGGCTAGAATGAGTGCATTTCTCTTTGGAAATCAATACTATTTAGAAATCATAATGTTAACGAGAAACCATCCACTCTGCTCTAGTGCAGAATAAATATTTTTTTCCCCTAGGCTTCACCTAGGAGCCGTTACAGCTCATACATGTAGAGATAATCTTCAATTTTGAAAGTGTGTGTGTGTTAATGGTAATGTGAACCAGCGCATCCTCATTAGCCCTTCTTGTGTTCTGTTATGCAAACAGAATACTTGTCTCATTCTCAGGGCAGCAGGAATCTCACTGAGTGACAACATACATGAATTTTCCTTTCTTACATTTTTTTCCACCAATGGTAAATAGAGCAAAGGATCATCCTAAACTCCACCAACAAAGGCACTCATTAGATGCTTGCTGGCAATTGATCAAGATTAATGTGTGGGTATGCTCACTGGACAAAGGGCAAGGAAGGCTCTTACTTATTAAACATAACAAATTGCAAGGGAATAAATTGGTTCATTACCTTTAATTGGAGCATCTCCAACTGGCCACATTACAGGGTCAAAGAAAACAAACAGATAGAAACTTGGGGCAAATATTATTTTAGGCTATGTATTTACCAGTCATCGTAATAGTTGGATTAATAACCATTAATGATCAGATTCTGAAAACCCTCCCAGTATTTGGAAACCAGAAATCATGAGGAAAGGCAGCATAAGATAAGCCAAAGAGACATGGAAGGGTGAGAAATCCCCGGTTCCCATGGATACTTGTTCTCTGAGATCTTTCCAAAGGGGAGGAGGCATGAGGTAGTAGTGGGCGGCCAGCCACCAACATGTGCCAAGCTCCATGTGCTGTCCTTCACTAAATCATTTTGCTTCATTTTTTTTTTAAAGTCTGATTTTTTTTTACCTGGGAGGGTGCTAAACTTTGGGGTGGTGAAATTGTTTGCTTTTGCAAGTGTCGGAGCTGGGGGTTCAAAGGCAGATCTGTATAACCATGGATGTCATGATGGGCGTGGTTACTCGAGGGCACTGCCCACTGTGGCTCTTCTTTGTTTGCAGAAGGAAGCTCCTGGGAACTGTGCCGTGTGGTGGAGCTGACACCTCTTACCAACACCAGGAAGTCACTTTTGAGAAGTTGCTGACCTCTTGGCCACCGATTGGTTCAACAGCAGACTAAGATAGAAATCCAGTCACAGAAACTCAAGGGCCAGCTGCTCTGGATACTGCTGGAAGGATTTCTCTAGCTTTTTAAAGATAGGTCCAGAGAAGAGTGACCCTCTTTGACATCTAGATACTGTTACCACCTGTAAGAAAAGTACAACCGACCTAGATTTTCCGTGAGGCTATTAAGTTACTAGACTCACAGGCCTAAGACCTCCTTGGCTCCAACCTTCAGATCATGTGGAATAATACACTTGAGACCAATTTTAGTTCTGTGGCCCAAAACATCTTTCCAGATACCAATCCCATAGCTTTTCAACAGAACATCATTGCCCTGAAGAACACATAGGCAAACTTTAGGTGTCCAAAGCTTCTGGCAGGAGAAGCATCTCAAAGGAAGAAAGTATAGAGCCACAGGACGGGACAATGACACGGTTGCCATGATTGTGGTACCCATGTCAAAGGCCCTGAGAGCACCTTGACACCTCTCCTCTCAAAAGCTTAATCTGGGCTCAGAGGTGAGAGAGGACTTTGTGTGAGGAGGCCCTTGATAAATAACTCTCTTTGGCCTTTTCACTGTTTTTTTTTTTTTTTTTTTTTTTTTTTTTTTTTTTTTTTTTTTTTTTCCCACAGAAGGTAGGAAGCCTTTCAGAAGGAGTCTGACCTTGCCAAAGGGACTAAGAATTGGCCAAGCATGAAACACATCTTGCTATTCCTTCCTTCCTGTCCAACTCCATGGCCTATGTGCATTGCCCAGATTGCAGAGTAAATAAAATGACCATTATTTAGAGTGGTGCTTGGAAAACCAGTCTTGTGGGTTGACGGTCATAGCATTGCAACACTTTTAAGTAAAGTTAAGAACTCTTTGGCACAGCTACAGAGAAGCCAGGGTGTGTGGAGAAAGTACTGGGGCTTAGAGCTGACCAGCATCGTAAAGCACTGAAGCTGTAGAAGAGTGTGAGATTTGGGAGAAACCAGACTTCAAGCAAATACAGACACATATGCATATAATAACAAGGAAGCCAACTAAAAACCTCAGTAAGTGTAGGCTGAAATTAATGGAAAAGAATGGAGACTGCGCAAACATTTTGCCACTTAGGAGATGCGAATCTTACATCACTATACTGCAGCTCGGCAAACCTTCCCCAGTTTCTGTGAGCTGATCGGGTAAATGCTAACGGGACAATCTCAGCAGTGTTCTGAGGCTCAGTGGCACAGCTGATGGCCTGCACTACTGCCCTTATGTGGTACTGAAGTCCTGGCAAGCGCTGCCTACACAGGGACTATATCAGTCAAATCTCACATCTATAGCTGGCAGATACTTTCTTTTCTTTTCCCGTGCTGCAGATGTGGAAACTGGGGCCGAGGGAAAGAGAAAGAGCTTTCAGAAAAACACATGGCTTGTAGCAGATGGGAACAGAGCCGAAGTGAGGCTTGATAACTTCATCTGTTCAGCCATCGTTCTTTCATGCAAAGGCTTCCTTTCCAGTCCATGGTCTTTCTCAGCAGCCTCCTAAGGGGTCTCTATCCTCGAGCCCACCCCTTTTCTCAACAGTGTGTTTCTGAGCACTGAGACAATCTGTCATACCCCACTCTTTCCCACTCTTTGTTTTTCACAGTCAGACCCCCAAACACCAACACTGGATCCTGACGTAGGAAAACTCCTGCAAGTTCCAGGCTAGTTTGGAGTACCGAGTACCAGGCCCTAACCTACAGTCTATGCTATTGGGTAAAGGTTTGTATATAAACTCAAGCCTCCTTTCAACTTAAGAGCCAGTCACTATCAACTTGGCTGGATTTAGAATCACAATGGACATGCACCTGAAGGTTTAATGATTGTGGGGGAAATCAACATTGAAAGTGGGTGTCACGATCGCGTGGAATAGGAGCCTGAACTAAACAAAGAGGGGGAAGCAAGCTGAGCACAAACTCGTGTCTCTCTGCTTCCTAATCGTGGATGCAGCACGGTGACTTCCCCACCAAGACGGTTGTACCCTCAAACTGTGAGCCAAAGGAAAATGTTCCTTCCTTCCTTGAATGACATTTATCAAGTGTTTTGTCACAAGGACAAGACAAATAACAAATGTAAAGGGCTTTCTTCTGTTGGTGAGGTCATCCATGACCTCACTTTGCAGGTGTGATGAAGCCTACCTGCAGTTTCAGAGAAATCCAAACCCAACCTGAGGAAAATAGTGGGGACCTCATCTCAAAACAACAACAGAAGTGAAACGAATATTTCATGCTGACACCACAACCGACAGCATCCTAGAGTCTAAAGAAAATGTCTAATTATAGTTCTGTGTGCTGGGTTCATGTGCCATTTTTCTTGGCTAGTCTGTCCACGTGTCCTGCCGCACAGCGAAAGGTGACCTTAAGCCAAATATTACACTGTGTTCTATTCCAAATGCAGACTCCAACCAGCAGCCCATGAGGCCAGCCATTAAGATGTGATGTTCCTGAAAGAAGTAAAAGCGAGGTACCATGCCCCACTCAGCTCAGTACATAATGCCGCATGAATCCGGAGAACACTTTCTGCCAACAGGAGCATGGCTAGTCCTTCCACAGGCATCCTGGGAATTACCTATGGAGACAAATAGAGGAAGGTCCAGGAAGTATCTAGATATCCATGTCAATTGTCTATAAGGCCAGACCGAAGAAAATCGACCCAGGAAACTCCTGCCCTACCCCTTACCTTGTGAGTTGGCCCTAAGCATTACAGAGGAGCTATGGGGTGAAGATTTTTCACACTGAAGGCTAAGCACACCTTCAGAAAAT